AGTTGAATGTTGAGGGTTTGGGGAAATATGAAAGCTTCTGAAATCACAAATGTGAAGGTTAACTGGGTTGTAATCATCACCTTTAAAAGTTCATGTGTTAAAAATGATGTTTTCTTAGTTTGTGCAAGTCTGTGATAATGTTCTTGTTTTAAGTGGACAGTAACGTAAGCAGTGTTCCATAAAGCTCAGTGCAGAGCTAAGTTAATACTTTCAAGATTTTGTTTAGCAAAATAACTGTGGTGCCTCCTAAGCTTCATCACATTTATTCTTATTCAGCATTTAAATTGTTGGGTGACAATTTAGCTTTGCTGTGTTTTTAAAAAGAGAAGCCTCTAGTACTCTTCTCCACATGTTGGTTTTGCAATCAGTGAGTAAGAAGATAAAGTTCTTTCTGTTCCACTTAGCACAATTTGAAATGATCAGCAAGTTAAGTCTATTCAACTGCTTATCTACAGAGAGGCATGTAGGACTCCAATTAAGTTTACATGGATAAATGCAGATTTGTGTTTGCAGGTGTCAAGATGACAGAAGCTTAATACTGTAAAAAGGCTAATCAACACTGAATATGTTTAGTGTCAGTAAATATTTATAGTGAAAACATTGCCTATGGTTCTGTGCCTTGGCATTCCTAGTTGTCATTTTTAGTGAGTAAAAATGTGGTGTGATATCCTCTTCACAAACCTGCTATGAAATTATTGTTTTCTATAAAATGGATGTTGTCGCCTTTGTGCTTTCTTGTGAGGACAGGTTAGGAGTTAGGCTACAGTTTGTAGGTTAGTGAAAAATCTGGTATACTTAGTAGGGTTTCAAGGCAGAGTATGAGGAAGGGAAGGAGGCAAGACAGGGACAGGCAGTATGGGGAGTAATTTCTTCTGATTATAATTTAATTTTTTCTTTGATGAGGGCTTCTTCAAGCAGGGGTTGCTAACAGGCTCTGGTGAACCATGTGATTACTTAGTGTGCTCATGTATTCATGAAGCAATAACTACAATTTAACTGGAAAATTAATGGAACATCAAAAATACATGTTCTATATAAAGAATACAAATATGTAGTTTTTTAAGTTTCATTAGATCTCCAGAAGATAAATGCTAGTCTGTTCTCTTTTTTAAATATATTCTGGAAAATAGCATGTCAAGAAATATATCTTCAATTGAGCTTCTACTGATGTAATGTTGTATGAAGAATACAGCCAAATGAAATGAGAAAGTAGAGGTACAAGAAACAGTGATTATTATTTTTTATTATATTTTGACTTAGAGAAAAGAATATAACTGTAACTGCAGTTCTGCATCAGTCTTAACAGTGTAAAAAAAAAGCTGAAGTGAAATTTTGTTTTCTGGAGGGGAAATAAATTGATATAGTTTAGGATTTTGTTTGTTTGTTGAAAATGTCATGGCTTGTCAAGCTAACAAATGTGATTTTGTTCCTGGCAGACTGCAAGACCTGGTCAAGAAAAAGAAAAATTCCCTGAAACTACTGCAACATAAATACAATCTACTTCAGTTTAGTGTCTAACTTTGCATGAAATAAGCACTGCCTGTTAGCCTCTGTTTGATCCTGTGAGAGTGTGAGGCTAATGTCTGGCCAGTGTTTTGGAAGCAGCAGGTAGTCAGGAGCAAGCTGCTCTAGGGGTCCATATTTCTGTAGCCTAGCAGTTACTCACACACAGATGGAGACCTTATGAACTTTGACAGAGGTCACGCTAAATTGCAAATCTAAAACTTCTAGACTTCTGAAGGATTATACTGGTACTTTTTTGATTTTAAAGCCATATGATTCGGAACATCACTAAAGGTATCAGCTCAGTCTGGAGAAGCAGATCAGCCATGCAGTCATTGCTCACATAACGATCACAGGGACTGATGATAGCCTTACGTGGTAGTTTAAAGGGAAACTCGCATATTAAATTGGTCATTTGCATAAAATGCTTGTGTTATTGCTTCCCAACCACCTAGGCTTGTCTGCTCTGTTGAACTTATTGAAGGAATTTTTGAGCTTACAGCATTGCAGAAGCCTCTGACTTTTCTGATGCATGCGAGTTGGAAATAACTAAGAATATTCATAGCATTTTTTTGATTTTAGGTCTTTTGGGGCAGTCAGTTGAGACACCAAGCTCTGTCATCTGTCATCAGCCATCAGCTCACCAGGGATCTTATAGCAGTTTAGGAATGAAAAACGTGAGATGATCTGGTTACACATTGTAGCATGTTTAAATCCTAGATTCAAAGTTGGATAGCACTGAAGAGCTCTTTTTTGTCCTGAAGTTGTACTTAATAGATGAAGTATCTGTGATATTTCACCTTAGTGTTCACGTCAGAAATTTTTGAGGGAATTTGTAGCAGCCAAAGACTTTATTGTTTCCAAGTTAGAGTAATTTAGCATAAGATTTTTATTTTTTGGTTTATTTAGTGGAAATGCAGTGTGAGTTTCACTCAGTTTTTATGACGTCATGGTCCGTGAATGATTATCTAGGTCGCAGGCAGCAAGGAGGCTGATGCTCTTTTAATCAAATGGACAAATTTTTATCGTTCTCATCGTTGACCTGGTTGTGTAATATGCTACTTAATGGCTCGTGACCCAGTCTTTAAAGCTGTGACTTCATGATTCAATGAGGCTGAGTCTGACTCAGTGTGTTGAAAGTGGTTTCAGTGACGGCCACACAGAGAGCTTGAAAATTCACACCAGCAGCAGAATTGTAGGGGTAAAAAGCTTTGAAACTGTTTGAACTGGTCTGCATATAAAATAGCAAGAATGTTGTTCATGCTTCTAAATGGGAAAAATACAAAAGAAAAAGGAGTGCAAAAGAATCTCCTTCTGTAGCCATGGCAATTTGTATTCGCTGTGTCTTTGCTTTGGTGAGATCTTGGTAAGGAAAAAAACCTGAATAGCTTATTTTAGAGTATGAAATACGTGAGTTTAGAGTGAGTTCTTATTCATATTATTTTAAACTAGAGCTCTTAGAAAAGAAGTACAAATAACTTTGAGTCATGTCATCATAATCCTAATAACTTGCAAATAAATATATCTAAAGTTGAAGTTCAGAATTTTGTGCTAAATTGTTACAAGATACTGTTCTGTGATGTGCTCTGCATTTTATATGTTATGGTGTGCAGCTCAAGTCACAGTTCATGTGACTTGGCAAACACAATGTTTTTTTGGAGTAACCTGTTCCTCTGACACTGGGAAGAAAGAATGTGAATTACTTTGTATTTCTTGCGGAGTGAGAACGTGCACAGCTGAGGCTGGGTAACATCTTTCCTCTAGCAGCTTCTGCATTTATCCATACCTGGAATGGATCAACACCTGCAGCCACACATACAATGCTCCAGAACTGCACATCTATGTCAGCTTCTCTTGAGAAATATTCGTGTTTATGAGCATTATGTTTATGTTATTCTGTGTAGACATGTTCAGACTCTTCAGATTTTTCTCTTCAATCTCTTTCTAAAACTGAGAAGAGAGTTGAGATAAAGATGGTGCTTTTCTGGTGTAAAATTAAGCTTTCCTTTTCAGAGATGATCTGTGTGCTACTTTCAGAAGAGAAAGTATCTTCCTTTTGAAAATTGTTTGCAGTAAGGAGAAGATAATTAAGATGATCTAGGGATTTTCCTCAGAGCACTTTTTTGCATCACCTTTCCCCTCCCACCTCCTAGAAAGACTTCCTTGTATTTAATATTTCAGTGAAATGACTTTTAATGACTATCATGTTCAGTGCTAAACTGCAAGTACTTTTGGTAAAGTGCAGTTTAGCATTAAGTTACTAGCTTAGACAGGAGTCAATGAAACATAAAAAACATCATTCAACAAAAAACAATCATCTAGTCTCACTGTGTGGACTAAGGTGAACCAACTATATCTGCATCCTGACGGGTGTTTCCTTAGTCTGGTTTGGAGCATTTTCACTGTGTCCAAAATCTATCCCAAAGTCTTTTTTTCCAGTGTTCACTGTCCTGAGTACACACCTTGTGCTGACATCTACTCCTGATTACGTTATTTTTCCCAGACTAATCTGGAAATGGAATATAGTTTGTTCCTTTCCTCTTTGAAAAACTAATCTTTTGCTCATCTGTGAGGAAGGTGCAGAGAACTTACTGTTTTGTGTGCAAGACTGGACTGACACTGGCAGCATCCTTTGAGCTCTGTAGCTTTAGATTACCCTTGTTAGAAGTTCTTTTTCTTTGTTGGCACAAAAAGTAGGTGAAAAGAAGGAAAAATAAAATTTGAAAGAAGAGAGGAGAGGCTGAGAAGTGGAATGAAAGGAGATGAAGAAATTCAGAAAATATGAAGTAGTATAATTTTCAAAGAAATTTAAGGACAAAGGTGGTTATAAAGGCTTTATGATAAGTAATTTTTTAATTAAAGAAATAATTTTTTGGGGGGAGCTATGTGCCTAGCAGGGTCATGGAGTGGTGCTAAAGGGAGACTTTTTCAGTTAAAAAAATAGACCAGGCAAGGTTGGATAAAGGGACATAGGGAGGAAGCAATAGATTTTTGTTTTATAAAGTTCCACAGGAGTCTCTTATGAGTTGCAAATGATAAAAATGTTGTATTATTATATGTGAGTGGTAAAACTTCTTATTGTATTTCATTACTGTGGTTGGGGTGTAACATGGTGCATATCTTCCATTCAGGGTTCATTGGAATTGAGCCAATACTGTCATGACTAATCTGCCGTTTCAAGGAGGTGGCTCTGGTCTTACCTACATCTGCTAGAACTGATCCAAAAGTCTTTTAGATGTGCTTGCTGTCCTTGACTTAACCGAGTGTTTGAATTAGGCTTAAGTGTTTCTTTTACAATTAAAACAAGCATTTAAGGGGAGTGTCTTGAGGCAGCAGTGAAACAAAACTGGTAAATCTGCATTGATTACATCAGTACTACGGTATCTAAGTTGTGAACAAGTATTTATTCCAGAAAGATAAGAGTTCATATTTTACAAGTTGTGCCTAGTGTAATTTGTGATTAATGTGTTACCTGATTTTGTATTGATTTGTTTCAGGTGTGGCTCACAATATTTCCTTACTGCGAGAAGTGATCATCCATCCACGCTTTGTTCAAGGAGACTTCAGCACTAAATTCCTTCCTGAAGTCTATCCTGATGGTTTTAAAGGTTTGTTCCATTTGGAAATGTTTCTTTTCCCCTTGAGCTGTGTTGTTTCTGATCATTATTCCTTTCCATTTTCAGACTGACATGTTCCCCAATCAGCCTTTACTGTTTCCTCAAATCTGTCTGTGCATACACTCAATTAGTTCTTAAATAACGCATAACATAGTTCAAGAAGGCAAAACATATACTTCTAGTAATAAAATAGTAAATGAAATACTTCAAAAGTCAAGAAAAACAATTTGTAGGTGATATGAAATATGTAAAATAAACATCAATTCCATTCTGTCATACTATTGTGCTTCATTACAGACAGTGCTACTGTTAACTATAGTCAGGTAAGATTTCTGTTTACTCAGCACTGTTGCTTCTTCAGTGAGTTTGTTCAGCATCTTTAAATTTTGGCACCCTTTGTTTTCTGTAGCATTGTCTGGAGGATCTGGCATTTTATCAGAGCATTTCACTAACCTGGTCTTAGTACTCATTACACACAGTAGTGGTCATCCCCTGAAATTTTTAACTCATACATTAAGTTAACATAAACATAAATGCAAATCTTCTTTCACAACATCCCAAACTACTCAGTTTAAAAAATGTCTAACAATGGTTGGTAGAAAAATGTAAGTAAACAGATTGGTTTCCTTTCCCAAGAAGCAAATTTTAGAAGGTTGTCTTCTCTCTTAGCCAGTCTGCTGTAGATGCTTTCTTGACCTGTGTGGTCAGACTCAGTCCTTCCTTACAGGTCTCCCACTTCAGCTGGACATTCATCAGGCAGAACCTCTGTAAAAGAAACAAGACAGTGTTTATAGTTCATCATTCATGGGTCCTTTATGAATCCCATGGAGATTCCTTGCCCCCATTCATCATTATTCCAGTGTGGCAGAATTCTCATCCCACTTTGGAGACAGCACTGCCAGATTGGCAGGCACTGGACATGACTGGCACCTTGCCAAATTCTAGTCTTATTAAGGAGCAGAACAGATTTTTCTTACCTCAGGACTCAGTGTGTGGGTTTGTGGATGACTCTTCTTTGCACCAGAACTACTTTATATCATGATGTAATTCACAGTTCTGTGTGCAATACAGTTCTATATATGGGATTAATGCATCCAGCTTGTTATTGGCTCCTGACAGACCACAGCAACAGGCATTAGCCACCGTGAGTGGCAGTAAGTGTGTGATGGTTAACTCGGAATAGTTCCTTTGTTGTCTTTGCTTGGGTGTGCTTAACTAATCTTCAGGTAACTCAGCTGGTTTTCATCCAGCATAGACTCGTGGGTACTCTGATCATCTGCTCTGAAGGCTCAGTGCTGCTGTAGCTCATCTCTCTGCTTTTCCTGGCACTTCAATTACAGAATCTTATGTCCCTCTGACTATTCTGGGACTTTTCAGTCCTTTTCCTGAGTGGATTCAGTTCTCTAAATCACCCTAAAAACTGCTTTTTTTTTTTTACTGTTGTTGCTTTTGTTGGGGTAGTTTTTTGTGAGTTCTTGGGTTGACTTAGCTCATGAAGGAATCCAGTGAGCTTCAACAGATGTGTGAAGTGAGTGACAGGCTAGGAATTGGGAGAGGGGAATGGAGGAGAAAGGCAAGGGTGCAAGGTGTTTGGTAGGTCCATACCATGTTGTGAGGTGTCAGTCTCACCTGACACACAACTGGGAGCAGTAAAAACATAAACCAAACAGTAATATTGTATTAACAGATTCTTAAAGATATGCTCTTGTCTTCTGGTATCTAGAGCAAAAGATATTGTGACAGTTCATCATAGAATCCTATGAATGCCATATGTGAAATGACTAGACTTTGTTCCTGCTTTATGAAAAGTCTTGCTCATCTTCTTCCACATATCAGACACAAACATACATTAGCCTTCTTAATGATAAAAAATGCACGTTTGTTCACATTGTATTTCAAATCAAGAATACTTCCTCATGAATACTGATTCAAAACTCACCCAAGTAATTGAGAGCACTTTTAATAAGTAGTTTGCATTGAGTCAGACCTTTCTGGTTTAAAAAAGAAATTGGTGAGTTGAATTGGATGGTAGCTTTTTAAGTACTCGTTAAAAATATTTCTATAAATCCAAAGGCTCAAATGGAAACTGTTGAAGGCAAGCAAGGGTGGTGGGCAGATGCTGGGTAGAAGCTCAGCAAGAGAAGCAAAGACAAAAATTAACTTATATGTAAGTTCTCTTGTCACTTCAGCTAACTTCTTAATATAAATACCAAGGGTAAACTTTGCTAGGAGAATCTGAACATGAGGTAGCTTCATATATCTTAATATTGTTTATAAAAGATGATAGCTGTAAATAAAGATCTGGGATAATCTGAAAAATCAGAACAACATGTAGTCAATGTGGATTTGGAAATACCTAGAAATATTTGCTGTTGTTAACAGTAGGAGTTTGGAAAACTTAAGAAAGAAAAAAATTTCAGTGGAGATGTGTGCTATATTAGTGCCTGAACACAATCCAATGTGTTTCTTTTGTAAACTGCACAATTGCCACTGTTGGTCTACGTTGTTGATAAACAATGAACGTGGCTGTGCTCTCTGGTGACTGCATGAAGTACTTGGCCCATTTCTTAGGTGCATTTTTCATCAAATACAAATATTGCCTTTAGTCATACTTAAGAGTGAAATAGGATATGCTTTGTTTTCCAGTCTCATTTTCATGTGTTCCATTTTAAATCCTTTATTAGAAGACTTTCACTGTAAGTTAAGAAAAAATGAGTTATTAGAAATATCTTTGCTCCTTTTCCATTAACCTGTGATATCCACTCCAAATTACATCTAGAATGGGAGTGTGTAGTAATTTTCATGATTAGGGTTTAACTCTTTCTTCTTCCCCTCCTTAAGTAACTTTCATTCACAAAATGAGTTTGTTTATTGCAAGTTACTTAAAATAATAGTTGTAGTGAAACAAACCTTGTGCAGAGTCTGATTAGTGTATGAAAGCAGCTGCTGTGACACCCTTTTGTTGTCTGTGCAAGGGAGAGATGGCAGTAGGTTAGCTGGAGTGGGTTATTGCTCTGAGCAGATGTGCATGTTTTGGGAGGAGTGTGACTCTGAGGGTGTGTGCAGCAGCACCAGTTAGGTCAGGTGGCAGAAATACATCTGTCCAAGAGTAGCCTCCAAGCACTTTGCTTAAAGAATAAAATGTTTGCCAAGCATGCAGGAGTCAGGCACACTGTCCTTCTACAGCTTCAGGGAAGCCTCTGTACTTATCAACCTGCCTGGTGAGAAAGGAATACACTTTTATACCTATTTTACAGGCACAGAAAGTATCTCTATTTTCACAAAGACCCAAAAGGAGTCTTTAGACAAAGACCAAATTAATCTCAAGGATCCTTATGTTAGTACGGTTTGTTCTTTGTAGTTCAGTCAGTTTCACACTTAACCTTTTCCTGGATATCTGTTTTAATATTGAACTTTTTTTTTTCTGGTGTTCCACTCTTCCTGGTTATGAAATGATGTCTCAAATACGTGTTCAGTCTCTTTGGGAGACACATCCTGTGCAAATGAAAAATGGGGCATTTTCCAAGAGATAATCACAAAAGTCATACCAAAATACATGAAAAAAACCCCAGTTACTTCCCCTCTTCTAGCATGTTTACCTTATTCGGGTGGAGAGGAAGAACAGAAATTCTGATGGACAATCCTTTATGGTAATTCTTTATATTTCTAATACAGAAAGGAATAAAGAGGAAGCACCTCTCTCCTGAAATGGTGTGTTAGCTTCAGAGCCTCTGTATGAGATGAAGGCTTTTGGATGTGTTGTGTTTGTCAAAATTATATGGATTGAAGGAAATTATTACTCTGCTATACTCAACACTTACTAAATCACTTCTGGAATACTGTGTCCAGTTTTAACCCCCTCATGCATGTAAGAGAGATGGCAATAAACTTGAGTAAGTCTAGCAAAGAGCCACAAGGGTGGTACTGGGATTGGAACAGACGACCTGTAAGGAGAAGCCAGGAGAACCAGTCTTGTTCTGCCTGGAAACAAGAAAGCATAGGGTGGACCTAATGGCAGCCTTTCTAGTAGCTCAGAGGGGTTTCCAAGAATAGAAGCCAGGCTCTTCAGTGAGTTGCACAGCAGCACAGCAAGAGTCAGTGGTCATAAATTGGAGATTTTCAAGACATGACTGCACAAACCTCTGAGCAACCTGTTCTGAATTTGATGTTGAGATTGCTTGGTGGGGAGGGGAGACATGTTGAATAAACTAAAGGCCTCTCAAGGTCCCTTCAATCTCAGTCATTCCAAGATTCTGTTATGAGTGAATGCATTTTTTAGGTGAAATGGGGTTGCAGATACAACTTTTAAATTTTAGTCTGGAGACTTTTGCTATAAGTTGGGGGGGGGGGGGGGG